GAGAAAAATTCTAGAAATCATCGCAGAGTGGAGCAGTAAAACATGGTGCTATAAAAAGGAAGTACAATCACTAGTTGACTAATGTGGTTATGTCAAGTAGTTCCTCAGGGTAGACCTTTTATCCAACGATTTGTTAGAGTACTAAGTGGGCCCAACAAATCAAAATATCGTATAAAAATAACAAATCCAATGAAAGCAGATCTACAATGGTGGTCCAGGGTTCTTCCCGAATGGTCTGGAATATATTTTTTCGAAGATAAAACATGGCTGCAACCAGATATAAAAAATTTATTCACAGATGCATCAAATTTGGGAGGAGGGGCAACATACGAGTTGTATTTTACAACATTCAAATGGAACACAACTATAGACTTAACAACAATTACTATACAGATTCGGGAACTTCTGACAAGCCTAATAGCTATGCTTACATTTGCACCACTGTGGGGCCAGAAGCGATTAATAATGTGGACTGACAACCAAGCTAATGCAGAAAGCTTCTATGCAGGATTCAGTAAAAATGTAGTAATCAATGACATAATAGCAAAAATGTACATGGCCCAGATCCGGGGCAATTTTTCTATAAAGTTAGAATATATACCAGGAAAAAATAATGCTGAAGCAGATCTATTGTCACGGAATGGAATACACAGCACGGAAACCATTTGCAAGATATTTGCAGCCTATTATTCCAACTGAATTTACTAACCTAGTGTCACCAATCCCATCCCTATTACAATAGGAGTGAATGTTTTACTAACCCCCACTATAACAAGATATATACAAACAGGCAGACCACCATTAAACGAACAGGCAGCAACGATTTTGGGAGTTCAAGCACCTGGTTACAAGACATATACCAGTATAATAAAACGCTATCAAAAGCTAGCCCAGGAAAATGAATGGACAGTTCCATATGGCCGATTTCAAGAGTAAATCTTACAAAATTTATCACACACCTGCATTCTAAAGTCGAGCCACAAACTATTACATCGTACCTAGCCGCATTACGGCACTATCATGACATGAATCACATGGACTGGAGCAATGTACGATACGACCCTTTAATTAAACAACTACTGAAAACAATACAAGGCAATCACACATTTAAAGTAACTCAACAGAAAGAACACATTACGAGGGAACAGCTACAGAAGATGAAATTAAGGCTGGATCTGGCAGATGCGGATGATCTCTTGTTTCTTGTGGTAGCATTAGTAGCATTCTATGGGTTGGCCCGATTGGGTGAACTTTTACCCGGATTACTACAGGACACGGCAAAGATACCAGTGATACAGGCTTTGAGATTCAACAAGATTGGCATGAGATCCTTCGCAACAATACAATTACCAAGAACGAAAAATCACAACACAACCGAGCGTCCTACCCTAATTATCAATTCAACCAATGACGAGACATTGGGGTTCTACGTCAACTATGTAAATCAAAACTATATATGGTATCATATAAAAATTTGTTATAAAATTTTTTT